CAAATTTCAGTTTTGTACTTCCTCCTTCTTGAATCTGGATCCATAATGCTCCCTTTCATCCTTGTTTTACTCAAATAAACAACAACCTTCATTTCAAAAACAAGGAAAAGCCCTCTATTTCTTTATTTCACCACCCCCCTTTATTGCACTGCATTACTTAAATTATATTTCAAAATCATTACTGACCATATTTTCATTGGTGACCAAGATCTACTAATTATTGCCTCAATTTCTATCATCCAAAGAACATTTTATTTCTCTCTTTCCTTGAGTTCTGACTGTCCGCTAATTTCCAAGAAATTATATACTTATTATTTCTTTATTACAATCATTTCTGTTTGTTTCTTCTTGCCTTTGAACTATGCACAAATTCTAAAGTAATCCTTCTAATCTTTTCTCCCTATATTCAAACTTACTAGAAAGGATATCTACTGTTCAGTTTTATCTGTAATCTCTATAGCAATGACAAATCTGAGTTCTGACCTTTGAAATATGGACTGATGTTTTTAACAAACCACTTACAGTTTCACTTCCTAAGATGTATATTTATACACTAACTCAACTGGACATCTGGCAGTTTGTTATTTTTATAACTCCCTATCCTAATTTAGTCCCTCTAATCTCCATTTCAGCCCATTATCCATCAGTTCATACCTATAAACTCCACCACCCTAGGCCAAAGTAACGTACAATGCTAAAATTGTGCAAATATCTTTTAAAAGGGAATCTTAATTCTACTAGAAAGCGATCATTTCCTACATAATTTTTCTTGGTTTCCTGTCCTTGGTCTTCTCACCTTCTAATCCTCTCTAATGACCAGTTTTCAATTTTCTCTACTTTAGAAGCACACTGTCCAAGGAAGGTATCATCTAGTCTACCTTCAAATTACCGATGTTTGGAAATGGACATCCTTCATATGGGCTAGATGAGTTGGCAAGTTAATTTAAGGTCTTATGCCAAAAAGTGGATAAAATAATAGTACCTCCTCATAGATATTTATGAGAATTAAGTAAATGAACATATAGGAAGCTCATAATAAGCACTAAATAAATGCCAGTCATTAGATATTATCAGTCTTTAAATGCAAGCTATATGTCTTACACTTAAACACGTACACCAATTACTGTTGCATATCACATTTCACTTAAACATTCTGCCTGATGTTCAAAGCTTTCCAAATCTAACCCCATGCTGTTTGTCTAATCGTCTGTCTTGCTAATGCACTGTTCTTGATACATTCCTTACCTTCTTCATTCCCTCTTCACTCTATTTGCATTTCTACTTCTTTTTCTTCACTGTTATCTAATCCTTTGATATCTTCACTACAGTCTTTTTCCACTTCTAAAATTCTATATTCTTCAAAATCTAACTCAATTTCTACATTATTCTTGAAGTTCTTTTTAATACTCTGAGAGACTTCTCTTTCTAACTAGCATTTATTTTTCATATCTAATAACCTTTAATTCTGGAGTATCATCAGTCTCTCTTTTTTAATTTTTTTTGAGAGGTTTTTGCTATAGGGTGTGTGCACTCAATAGAAAGACAGAGAGAGAGAAAGCAAGAAATCACCCCCCAGGGGGGATGGCCACGCCACAATATCTTCTCCTCCATTCTCCTCTCAGGATCTTGGGTACACATACCCACGCACCTGGCGTGAGTTTAAGCCACTGGGTCCAGGCCTTAAAATGCAGTCCCAGGGAGTCCAACGACATAGCCAGTACACCAACTGCTGGTCCTGGGTCTCTATTTTTTTTTTTTTTAACAATATACTTTTTCCCGGTTATGTCTTACACTTGTTCATATAAAAAGATTTTACTCTCTCTTAGCTATTATACAAAAACACAGTCTGATGCCTCAAAACTCTTATTTCTCCTATTATGAGCTTAAAGGTAATATTTTAAAAATTAGGTAAGAAGCCATTAGGTAGCATGGTGGTTAAGGCACTGGACTCTCACAATGAGCACAGTTTGAGTCCCAGACCTGGTAGCTTGCTTTCTCACCTTCTCTCTCTCTCTCTCTCTTCCTCTCTCTCTCTTTCTGGTGAGTGAGTGTGTGCAAATTACAAACTAATAATAACATTAATACATAAAATTGAATATTTCTTTTTGGAAAATAAATAAAAAAATAAAAACTTAACTTCAAACAGATTTCAGCACCACAGATGCCCTCCAAGAGAATGTTCATTTATAGTAATTTTGTTACATGAAGAAAACTTATGTGATTAATACAGCTATTGATCCTCAATTACATATCATATAAACATTTCAAAAATTTTTTAAAATACTAAACACTAGAGAGTATTGTGACTTTTCTATTTGGAAGACTTTCCCAAAAGATTATTCATGATCTGTGTATTAACATGGACACTGATCCTCTCCCCTCTGTAGAAGATCCAGGGCAATACACAGTTTATAGAGCAGGAAGGGTGTTGGAGCAATGGCAATTCCATCTCACACTGATAGACAAGTCCCACCTTGCCATTATGCATCTTTCTCTCTTAACCTAAATCGAGAAAACAGGGAATGCTAAGGCAAAGATAACATTCAATTTATAATATTTTTTGCTTGTTTAAGCTTGTGAAACTGAAACTCTGTAGTATGTTAGCAATAGCAGAAATTGGATGACTATATTAATATTGAGCCAACATGGCCCACAAATATAGAAATGTTTACTTTTAAAATATTCTATCTTCGGGACCAGCAGTTGGTGTAATGGCTATGTCACTGGACTCCCATGAAGTCGACCGTGGTTCGAGTCCCAGACCCGGCAGCTTAAACTCATATCGGGAGTATGTGCATGTGTGCCCAAGATCCCGAAAGGAAAATTAAGGAGAAGGGATTGGATTGCTATGTGGCCATCCCCCCTGGGGGCGATTTCTCGCTTTCTATCTCTCTGTCTCTCTCTGTCTTTCTGGTGAGCTCATGTGCCCTATAGAAAAAACCTCTCCAAAAAAAATGTTTAAATTAAAAACAAAATACCCTATCTTTTATAGTAAGGCAGCAGCTATAACCATATTAGAATTATAGCAATATAGTATAGCTCTAGTAGTAGGATTTCTTTTTTTTTCAATAATTATTGTATCTAATTTTATTCATTGTCTTTTTTTTTTTTTAAATTAGAACAGAGAGAGAGAGACAGAGAAAGAGAGAGGGAAAGTGAGAAAGCAAGCTGCCAGGTCCAGAATTCAGACCTTGGTCAGCCATGTGGGAGTCCAGCACTTTAACCACCATGCCACCAGCTGGCCCATAGTAAGAAGACTTCTTTTAACTTAAAATGATTTACCATTTTTGTCTAAAAAAGGACAAAAAAAACCCAGGAAGTAGTAACTTCTTGTCATGAGTATTTAGATTTGAAATTAATTCTTTATATTAATGTGTCAGTGCTTCGGTGAAATAAAATGGTATTTGTTTTCATTCCTAGCAAGAGCACTATATCAACCGTGTAAGAATGGATGAGAGAGAGAATATTCTTGTGACAGAAATTTTAGCATGCATTTGTAGGCTAATATTCTGATTCAATTTTTGTTGTTCCCCATTATGAATGGTTCCTACTAGCTGTCTAGATCATTGGCAGCTTAACCAAACTGGAAGCTGAACCCAGCACTCAGATATGTTTTATTTGGCTAGCGTTATGTTTTAAAAAGTGAAGATGTATGCCTTTGGGCAGGATACACCCTCTCAAGTTCACAATGGTCTCTGTTCTTCATTACATCTTTGTTTTGGCAGCTTCCATTTTTTACTCCTCTCTCCAAACTTCTGACACTGTATGAATTTACCATCTATGATTTAGGATTTCAGAAGATCTGCTCCTCTTTATTCTGATTTTCCTTTTAGTGAGTGAGAATGAACTATGATGGGAGATGAGTCCTAATTTTCGTGCAAAGCCTGTCTATTGAATCACTCAAATTTTAGTTACAACTCTGAACAATGTATTTATATGTACTGACATATTTCCTACATATTTCTGGAAGCATTTTCTGATAGTCAAATATAAAGCTTCAAAAATAGGAACTACTTAAAAGACAATTATACTATTTTTTTTTTCGCTATAGGGCACATGTGCTCGCCAGACAGACAGAGAGAGACATAGAGACAGAAAGCGAGAAATCACTCCCCAGGGGGGATGGTCACGCCGCAATCCCTTCTCCTCCATTCTCCTCTCGGGATCTTGGGCACACATGCACACACGCCCAGCATGAGTTTTAAGCCACCGGTTCCAGGATGCGAACCGCAGTTGACTACGTGGGAGTCCAGCGACATAGCCATTATGCTAACTGCTGGTTCCCGACAATCACACTATTTTAAAAAATGGTTTTATACATTCAATCAGTAGCTATCATTACAGCAACAAAATGAATTTTCCCAGCATAAATATGCTATATATTAAGCCAGCTAAAGACATCACCGTACACATTATCATCAACAGATCATGTTCCCTTTTTGTGTCCCTTAAATGTTTTGTTTTTGAGTGCACTGGTGTTTACAACTAATTAATCATCGCCAGTTACAGATGATCATATTATTATGAAAAGGAGCAGTTTATCAAACAAGAAAAAAAGCCCACCAGTTTACCAGACATTTTTGCCTCAATATTAAACACAAAGTTGAAAATATATATCCATCTATGTATATGATTTTACTTTTCTCAGTATTAAACTAAATATAACTACTTTTACATCTCTCTTCACAAAATATATTTCTTATTCAAAAGCATGTGAATATATAGTCATAATTAAAAACAATTGTTTTTATTAACCTGCATACCTATAAATAGCATTCATCAGAATTTGATAAATATATTTATGATAATAATGTAGTCTTGTAAAATATACATTCTCCTTGTGACATTCACACCTGATCACTTCTCTAACAAGTAGAATTGTGGTAGTCCTTAATCACCCACATGCCAGGAACATAACATTACCATGAAATAGGAGCAAAAAGGAGACAGAAGAGAAAGCAAAACAGCAGGACAATGAATATGCTTTGGATTATTGGTACCTTTTGAATTGTCTTCTCAATAATCATGTCTCCCACGGGCATTAGAATACCTCCGAACACAGCCAGGACTGCACCAATGACAGCCCCGGAGATGAGCCCACAGTTTCGACTGCAGCCCATTCCTCTCGCTCAGGAGACAAATCAAGGGTCAGCACCGGTTTGTTTCCAAGTCCCAGGTATGATTAAGAAGGTTTAACGAACTCAGGTTCTATCATTAGAAAGAGATCATAAAACAGAAGCTTAAATATCAGTATAAGAAGATCAAAGTACAGAGAAAACATGCAGCAGAAGCAGATAATTTTGCCAGTTAAAAAAAAAAATGCTTTTCTTTTTATCTTACCACACTTTTTCTAGATCCTTTCTGCTTTTGTGTTCCTCAAATAAAAGTACCATATAGGATGTTTAAAATTTTCTTTGCCTTAATTTTATTTCTGTGGATGATTAACATATTGAAACCTTATCTAAGGAACACCAGGCTTGTTCTCGCACCCTCATCTTCCCTCACCCTCGCACACTCAGTTGCATCCACACCCGCTATCTAGCTTCTCAACCCAAACCAACCATCCACACCCTGCCTGGAGTTCTCCTGCAAACGGAATGTGGGTAGACTTATGTTTTCTCAGTATAAATACTAAGTATGGTAGCAAATATCTTTTTTTTTACTATACCTTTTTCACGAATAAACAACAAGAAATAGATTTTGCAGGAAATGATCTGATGAGTCTCAGAAGGAATCAATTCTTCTAATCGTTTGTAAGCTATCTGTTAAAACAAAAAGGTATGGGTAAATAATAAAAACGTATTATCAGAAAATTAATACTAAGATACGCTCTAACATCATCATCATATCTGTTAAAAAATTTGCATCTTTATGAATATTGAGCTCATTTTTTGTCTTATACACATGATTAAGAACATGAGTTTAGGTTTTTGTTTTGTTTTGTTTTTTAGGTTTTTGCCATAGAGCATATGTGCTCAGCAGAGAAGAGAGAAACAGAGGGGAGGAAAGCGAGAACTCATCCCTTGGAGGGATGGCCACTCTGTAATCCCTTCTCCTCTTTTGCCTTTAGGGATTTTGGGCACTCACGCACAGGAACCCAGTATTCTTTTCAAGCCACCAAGTTCGGAATTCAAACTGCAGTTGGTCATATGGCAGTCCACGCGATCTTACCACCATGCCATCAGCTCATCCAGCACTGGCAATTTTAAAGAAATGTACTTTCCTTTCCTCTTCATTCTAATGACTTTTAGATTAGACTATAGATGTGAAGAATTTGAGGAAAATTTATAGCATAAAGGATGTTAATTTTCTTTTTCCTTTGTGTATATGAATATGTGTGTGGATGGGGCATGTATGTGTATTTGTGTGGAAGAAAACACCTAGATATATTTTAATCATTTCACAAAATTCTTGAAGCCTGGCCCATGGCCAAGGCACATTAGTTTTCTAAAATTCAAAAAATATGTTTCCCTTACAGAATTAGGGCAAATTATTATAAAATGTTCAAGCATGTATGTGTGTTGTTCTCTTGTGTGTATGTATTTTGTTTTTGTTTTTGTTTTTAAATAAAATCGTCTTTTTAAAAAGAAGCCCAAGACTAGTAGTATTTTATCTCCTTAGATTGTCTGCATTTGCACTGGAGAAAATGTGTATCCCATTTTGGATCAACCAGAAGTAGATATATGTGAATGGAGACCTTTAAAATATTTAAACTATTGGGACCAGCAGATGGCATAATGGCTATGTCACTGGACTTCATGTAGTTGACCATGGTTTGAGTCCCAGACCCGGTGGCTTAAACTCATGCTGGGTGTGTGTGCGTCCGCAAGATCCCAAGAGGAGAATGGAAGAGAAGGGATTGCAGTGTAGCCATCCCCACTGGTGGGCAGGGGGAGGGGTTCCTCACTTTCTGTCTCTCTGTCTTTCTGGCAAGAGCATGCGCCCTATAGCAAAAACCTCTCAAAAAAATGTTTTTTAAACTATAAAATCTCTCATTCCCAAAGGTGGAAGGACACTGCCTTGAGCACCTTTCTTGCTACAGAGAATTGAACATTTGGTTTTTAATCAGGTACTGGCATGGTAATAAGACTATTTTGATAGAAGGTAATAAGGCTATTTTGCTGGCTCCCAAGTAATTCTTGAGTTAAGGTTCTATTTTTTTTTTTTTCTTCCCCAACACGATGAAGGGGCAACAGGTGGTTAGAGGTTAAGGTGCTGGACTCCAACATGACTGATTGCAACTCAAGTCCCAAACCTGGTGGCTCAAAACTCATGCCAGGTGTGTGTGTGTGTGTGTGTGTGTGTGTGTGTGTGTGTGCCCAAAATCCCAAGAGGAGAATGGAGAAGGGACTATGGCATGGCCAAACTCTTGTGTGTGTGGTGATTACATCTCACTTTCTCTCTCTGTCTCTCCAGAAAACACTTGTGCCTTATAGTAAAAAATCTCTGAAAGAAACCAAACAAATAAGAAATCCCACAAAGATGGATTCTGCCAAGGAGCTATTGTGGGAACCCCTGCTTTGCCTGCAGTGGTGGCTCACTTTTTTGGGTTGTGGCTGAGGATGTATTCTTTCAATGAGAGGTGTTGCTTTCTTACTAAGTAGTCTCAAAGGTTTTAGTTTTTGCTTTTATTTTTTTAACATACTAAATCAAAATATTGTCTATTTTGTCATGTGCAGTTGATTCATGGCAATTCCATTCAAATTAATTTGTACTAATGCATATTTCATTCTTAGTTTTGCTATCTTTTTATGCCATAGTTAATAAGAAAAGATTGGAAGAAAACAATTTATGGTGTGCATAGATCATCTTTTAGTAAAATTACTAACAATTTATTTATGACTAATATCTGAAAACACATTTATTTTAATTATTTTGGTTGTAATGTCTTTTTTCATAGAGAATTTTGCTATACGGCATATGCACTCACCAGAAAGTTAGAGAGACAGAAAGCGGGAAATCACCCTTCAACCTATGAGGGATGGCCATGCCACAATCCCTTCTCCTCCAATCTCCTCCTGGGATCTAAGACATGAATGTACATGATCCCAGTATGACTTTTAAGACTCCAGGTCCGGGACACAAACCATAGTTGACTACACGTGAGTCTAGCAATGTAATCGTTATGCCATGTGCTGGTTTTATATTTTATTATATAAATATAAAAATTTATATTTTTAAATAGTCCCCTATGAAGGATATTTTAAGGTAATTTATTTATTCCATGAGAGAGAGAGAGAGAAGGAAAGAGAGAGAGAGAGAACTTCCAAGTATGTCTTGATGCACACCTGACCCCAAGCCTTGGATTATAGACAGGCATAATTTCTAGTGTACTTAAGGAAGTTCTCAGATGTGAACCCAGAACCTTCCCATGTGAAACAGTCTGACAGAGCATTGTATTTTACTATTGCACCACTGACTCGCCCCTGTGATGGCATTAAAAAAAAAAAAAAAGGGTTGGCCTATCATTGATACAGTCAGAATATGTTTTGTAGCTTATAAACAGATACTCTAATTCAAAATGTCCATGGCCAAGGGAGACATTCATACCAACAGAATGGAGGCTATAGGCAAAAAGAAGTACACACAGACCATTTCTGTCAATGTAAGTACAATAATAAAATTATATTTGTTATCATCTCAGGTGTTTCCAAGTTTTGTCACAATCAGAAGTGCCACTCTTATGCTTTGTTAGTATTTATTGTCCCTTGAAGAACCATGCAGTAACTAAGAAATGTTGCCTACAGAGCTAAGAAAATAATGATAAGAAAAATAAGACCTTTTTATCTGGGTCCAGCATCGCAATGTGTTGTCTTACTGCCGTGTTGTTGGCTAGTCCCCTCACAGACTGTGAATGGAATAAGAATAGCTTTCTCTGCCTTTTGAAATCATACAGTATGCTACCCCTATGGATTTGGCTATGACTGTCATAATGCAAAGAAACAAGTTATTTAAGGCCGATAATAAAAAACAAAAACTATGAAGTAGAATTTCTTTTCTAAAGCATAGTTATAAAACAGCTTACACTTTTCTTGATAGATAATCTTCTTTTTTTTTTGAGAGGATTTTTGCTATAGGGCGCGTGCGCTCGCCAGAAAAACAGAGAGAGACAGAGAGACAAAAAACAAGAAATCACCCCCCAGGGGGGATAGTCACACCACAATCCCTTCTCCTCCATTCTCCTCTCGGGATCTTGGGCAAGCACGCATACACGCCCGGTGTGTGTTTAAGCCACCGGGTCCAGGACTCGAATCATGGTCAACTACATGGGAGTCCAGTGACATAGCCATTACGCTAACTGCTGGTCCCTTGATAGATAATCTTTTAAGAAATCTCAGTACTTGCTAAACAGAGTATCCTTCTGATGTTCTGTTATGTCATACATTAATAATCATATTCAGGGTAGCTTATTAAATAATATTTTATGGAGTGCCTACTTCATAGGTCACCCCCAACTCTTTATCAGCAAGCTATATTAAGGAATCAGTAAAACCATAATGAACTCCCCCAACATAATGTACAATGTTTATTTCCAAATCAGGAATAATATCTAAATTTGAAAAGATGTAAAATAAAATTAAAAAGTAACACAAACATTGAAAAAAAATGATAGGTTTCTAGTCTGGTGTAACCAAGATTACGAGACAAGAGCAGAAACCAAAGATTGATTTGCCACTCCCTTGCTAGGTGACAGATGGCTGGCCACTTAATCTCTTTATACCTCTCTTTCCTTATGTGTAAAATGAGTTGCTCAGATGAAATCAGCAGTTCGTTTCTTTTTTTTAATTTAGATAACTAAACTGGTTCTTCACTTCAATTCTGACATGTAAGACAAATAAACACAGTGACTATAATACAGACACGGTTAAAACCCAGATACCCTCATTCTCTCATTCTCAACTTGCCCTCTTGCCTGATATTCTCTTTTCCTACTTCGATGAAGCTTTACAAGCCTTTGGCTTTGAAAGTCTATTTTAAAAAAAAAATGAGGCAGAGAATCTCCATTGTCAAATTCCAGTTTTGTGCCTATAACATAAATCTATTTTTAAAAAATATGCTAAGATTAAGTCATCTCTTTTAGAAAGAAATTTCATGTACTATATAAACATCACTAAAGATTCTCACTCAATGCTAATGTCATTTACAACTTTTACAGATGGAATATAAAATTATTTAAAAATTGAAATTCTATGCCTGCTAAAAAATACATATATATGTATGTGTGTGTTCATAATATATATATGTGTGTGTGTGTGTGTCTGTGTGTATACACACAGACACACACACACACACATATATATATTATGAACACACACATACATCATACAGACTTTAGGCTGCAACCTAGTCATGGATCTGTCTGACTTTGTCCAGAATCATTCTTTCCTCAAGTAGCTCATGCACTATGGGGAAGAGTATCTATAAAGGACAAAGAGTTCAAAGAGTGCCAACTAGAAAAGCCAGGGAGCAGCATATTCTCTCCAATCCTTCCCTCTCTACACCTGAACACTCTAACTATTACGACAGCTGTGGCTGGTGAGGCCAGATGTGTTGAGCAATGGGCAGGCCTGGATACTATCAAGGCTTAAAACTGAAGTGAATCAGTCCCCATGTGCCACTGCTGGTGACTCAGTTAACTGGAAAACAGAAGCATGAAGTAATTTATTCTGTGAAAACATGGTTAGACAGTTATGAGTCTCTTAGTGGTCTGCGTGATATATAATAAAGCTTCTAGTACTAATATAGCATCACTTCATCCATG